GGGGATGCGCGGTGGTAACACAGGTGGCCGTGCCCCGCCGAGCATCCTCCCCCCCGGGGCTGCCCGCTCTGCCCGCCGAAGTTTAGCGCCCTCGCCTTGAGCCAAATAGACCACAACAAAAAAAAAAAAAAAAAAATTTAATCACCCTAAAACCTCGCATTTTCACCCGTAAAGTGTTTCTCTAAGACAGCAGCCCCACCTTCTCAGCGCCGGGGTTTGGGGGGAAAAAGGGAGTGCGAAACGCCGTCTGAGACAGCAGAAGGTGGCTGCGTTCTGCCCGCAAAGAATAGCCATAAAGTGGCAACCTAAGGTGTAAAACGCCAGCCTTGCTTGGAACCATCAACCGTATTTTTTTTATTATTTTTTTTTTTTTCTTTTTAGGAGGATTCCTCCCTCTCCCAGTAAGCGCAGCTGTGAGGGGGAGGCAACAGGAGGCAGATCTGGGGCTGGAGCCCTCTTTGCTATCATTTTATCCGGTGGCACCCTCTTTTCTATCAATCATTTTATTCAGTGACCCAGCCGTATCACTCCATGTTGCTCCTGTGCCGGAGCCCCAGGGCGGCAGATGAGTCAGTGCGGTGAGACACCACACACCAATTTCTCTTCCCTGACCCAGCCACCTTTCTCCCTTCGAGGCTTTTCATTACTCAGGCGGCGTCTTTTAAAAAAAAAGGTATGAGCCGTAACATCCTGGAAGGAATTTCTCCACCTATTGCTTCTGCCTCGGCTAATTTTTCCCTTCTGCTACAGCCTAGAAATAATCTAGAAGGAAAAGTGCTGTTTCTCCCAGAGGACGTTATTCCACTGTGGAAAAATCAATTCTTTTTTTTTTTTTTTTTTTTTTTTCCCCCCTCTTCCTTCCCCTGCTTGCCTCTTGATCCGACAAGCCACACCGAGGTCACCTGAACTCCTCTGCTTAAAGTTAGGCACGTGCTTAAAAGCTCTACACCACCTCCCACCAGACCAGGTTGCTCTAAGCCCCATCCAGCCCGGCCTTGAACCCTTCCAGGGATGGGGCAGCCACAGCTTCTCTGGGCAACCTGTGCCAGTGCCTCACCAGCCTCACAGCAAAGAAGTTCTTTCTGGGACCTAATCTAAAACACTTTCTATCTAAAGCACTGTCTAATCTAAACCATTAATCAAACACTTAATTGTCCATCCGTCCCCTGTCTTCCCCCCTCCGGCTCTGAAATCTTCAAGGCTTTCCCTAGAGTGGCATGGTTTAAAAGATGCTCCTGCTGAGCTCTGCCCCAGATATAGGGAAATTTGGCTCCTGGTAATTGGCAGGTGGAGGGCAACATCTTCATTGCTTTCAAGTGAACAGTAGCCATATAAAAATATCTGTGCACAAACACTGTGTGACTGATCTGTTTGGACAGTGTTGCCAGGATCCCTGCTCCCCAATTCCACCTGATTTCACAGAATCACAGAATCTTCATGGTTGGAAGGGACCTTTGAGATCATCGAGTCCAACCTTAAAAAAAAAATAATAAAAAAACCCACACAACACCAAAACAAAAAAACCAACCCCCCATCACCACATCCAACAATCTCAGGCACTAGAGCATGCCCTGAAGTGCCACATCTACACGCTTCTTAAATACCCCCAGGGATGGTGACTCCGCCACCTCCCTGGGCAGGCCGTTCCAGTGCCTGACCACCCTCTCAGGAAAGTCATTCTTCCTGATATCTCATCTAAACCTCCCCTGCCCCAGCTTCAGACCATTTCCTCTGCTCCTCTCATTATTCCCTTGGGAGAAGAGGCCAACACCCACCTCTCTACACCCTCCTTTCAGGGAGTCGTAGAGGGCAATGAGGTCTCCCCTCAGCCTCCTCTTCTCCAAATTAAACATGCCCAGTTCCCTCAGCCTCTCCTCGTGTGACTTGTTCTCCAGACCCCTCACCAGCTTGGTGGCTCTCCTCTGGACATGCTCCAGCACTTCAATGTCCTTCTTGTAGTGAGGGACCCAGAACAGAACACAGTACCCAATTTGAATTCTTGTGCTCATTTCCTATCCTTGTTTTGAAACATTGATTTGCCTACTCACCTCCTCCCCTACCTCCTCCCATCCTTTGACTAACGACGCATCAAACCCCTTCTTGTCTACCCTTTTCCACTAAACTTCTCCATTGTGGTGTGTCAGTCATGCCCTACAGGCACTCCATCCTCCCTGTCTCGTCTCCTCCGATTCAGGTGTTAAGTTTTGCTGCTATATTTCCGGTGGCACTAATTAAACAATAGGTTAAAAAGAGGGACAACCTCCAAAAACATACCTTTAATGCCACAGCTGTCTGATAGGACAGAAAGCACAGGACATATGGTGGGACGCTTGCCACCAGTCAAGCCATAGTAGCAAAAATCTCCAGAGGACACCTTTTTTTTTTTCCTGAAATGCTGAATGAGGCTAAAAATAACCTTGAAAAGAAGAGTCTGATAAAGAAAGCAAACCAGGAATTGCAAAGAGACTTTTGTCTTCTTTTGGGGATCTTCAAATAGTGCTTGGAAACAGCGTCAAGCCACCACAGAGGAAGCTGTCCGAAAGGTCTGAGGTCAGTGTAAGTAGGAAAAAGGCACCTAAGCAATTTCTTTCCAAATCAAAAACACCCCAGTCTCAGCCAGCTGTTCTTATACGTGCCAAAAAAAAATCCTCTGTGGTCCAAAACACATTGATATTTTTATCCCAGAATAGGTAAATCAACACAGTTTGAATTTTAGGGAATTAATTAGTTGTTAAAATGTTAAAAAAAGTCTGAGTGTAACAACATTCCTGCAGAAAGTTCAGAGGATTCCTAGTCCTTCTTTCTTCACAGCTTTCAAACTTTATTTCTTTAAGCAAAGAAACAAGCTTTCCTCTCCTGAAAGGAAAAAGGCTAAAAGGGAATGAGCACATTGACGTAAAAGAGGAATCACAATTCCTTCCTCTTCCGCTCCACCATTTCTTTTCTTTTGATATGTGAAAACACCTGCTCAAGGTGATTTACCTCTTTACTGGTATTTTCTACAAAAGGCACAATAACCCCTATCCACCAAGCAGGGAGCAAACATTGACTCCCAATGCCAAGTGGGGACGGCGCACGCTCTGAAGTTCACCTGTACCTGGTGAAGAGCTGGCTCTTTGAATCCACGCCTACAGGAGAGGGTTATTTTACTCCAGGGATTATTAAACATTTCAGAACTGGTTCTTATCCACAGCACAGAGCATCAAATGTATCTCCTATGAATTTATGAAGTGAAGAATCACTGCCCGGGACTCAGGGGGCTCCTGGAAGAGGAGGGAGGTGTAGGCCAGCAGAAACAGGTCACGCACTGATCCACCCCAATGACCTGAGTCATTAAAACACGCAAGGAGCTGAACTGGTTCACATTGCCTTTGATGTCGGTGTTTGTATATAATAAGATGAGTCAGGGATCCCAGGACCACCTAGTGTACCTAATGAGACCCACCCACATAAGTTTCAAAATACTGTCAGCAGAATGGAGTGGTGAGATCGCCTTGGAAAAGCTCAGAGCTGTTTTCTAACCCGGGTGCACACAGAAGGCTTCCCATTCTAAAAATCGTGACCATAGCTTTGGTTATAAACAATGCGATTTGTACAAATCCGTCTATGAACTCCAAAACTAGCAATGTTTGCTTTCCAATGGATTTGTGTCTCGTGACCTACAAGGTATATTGCTGAAACAAAGGCTCAAGAGGGAAACAGATGCCAGAGAGATGTTTGAACCATGCTAACTGCAGGAAAAGCAGGTAGAGTTTGCTCCTTAAAGCCCAGAAGAACGTCACAAGAGACATTTCTGGCAATTAATGAGACACAAGTCTCATTATTTCGCCATGGTTAAATTACACCTGTTGTCAGAAACTGGAGTGGGACAACAGGTGAGGTCACACTGAAACTTTCTTCTCCTCAGCAAGGAGGACTCTACGGTCAATTCCCTTTTATTGGTTCCAAACCACTGTCCAAGAAGTGTGCATGGGACTCATCAAAATCTGCAGGAAGCAAAGCACCTCGGAGCCCACTGACTGTTTCACCGTGCAGGTGAAATTTGGTTTCAAAAGCTGCTGAGGAAATGCCAGCTTGTATATGTGACAGCGTTTCTTCATTGTGTTCTGAAGGACAGTGGCCTTCAGAAAGGAGGAAATACCTCTACTCGTAGCAACAGCTGGTAACACCGAGAAAGAATACTTGGGAGAAAAAAAAAAAATAGGTGGAGGGAGGGAATAAATTACAGTTTCTTCCCTATTTTTCTTTTTTCCCTTGCTCCTCCATTAGAAATTTAAAAAAGCAGTTTGACAGGCAGGAAATCAATAAAAACTTGACAAAAGCTCTTGCTTTTGGTATAAAAATTGATGGGGAAAAAAAAAAAAAAAAAAAGAAAAATCGATGAAACCTGAGAGCCAAAGTATTTGCTGGCAGCTGATTTGGCACCAAAGAGAGCTCTTCATTCTCCATTGTGTTGCACAAGTCTGGACAACTAGGCTTGGAGGTCACGGATCCCCTGTCCTTTAGCTCCTTTGGCAGCCCCAAGTAAAGGGATGGAGAACTTACGTGAGGCAACAGCATCCAGAGAGGGTTGGGTAGTTCGAGAGTCAAGCACACAGGAATAAGGTAGAATTAAGGCTTCTCATTCAACATGGCACTGCGCCATGTTCCTGGGACACCAGCCAATCTCTGCTCAAGTACGGCACGATTAATTTCTTCGTGGTGCTTCTCACTAATCTGCTGGTTCTTTGTAGGCATCCGTGAACCTCTGAATTTTACCTTGTCATACAGGGATCAGACAGGAAAACCAGGGCACGGGGAGATTAGGGTCAAAATCGTCTCGTAATTCATAGTGTCCGACTTGAGACATCCGGGATCCTATAGCAGAGGAGTCCCACTTTAATGGAAGATTACATGTT